CTTTTAGTCGTCGTATAACAACGATAACGTCTTTCGAAAAGAAGAAACCAAAATATTAACGCGTAATATTAATATACGTTTTATAAATTATAATTATATATATTATTATAATAATACAATATTAAATGAAATTGTAAGTAAGTATATTATAAACATACTCGGTGCATTTATAGTTTCATATAATTATTTTTTATTTAATTTACTAATTTATTTATTTTTTTTTAAGATTTATTTCGTTGTGTTATTCTTTGTTATGCGATTAATGTTTTCAATTTAAAATAAAATTGTGGATTATCGTTATATTATTAAAAAAACAAATTTAAAAAAAAATACTTACGCGAATATACCACACGAATATATAATAGAAAATTATCTACGAGTTGAACATTGTTAACATAATATATAACACAGTATAAGTATATACAAATTTATGTTCACACACATATTAACACACCGACATTTAATTCACGAATCCCTCAAGTCTTACAAATTTGTACAGTCTCTTTGGTAAACTTCTTTGTATAAATGAAAACACCTACTTTATGTATTTAATATCATTTAATATTTGAATTAATACAGAATATACAACGTAATTCACGGCGAATGCTAGTTCAAATACGAAAGAATACAAATAAATGTTGTATTTAAAATAAAATTGTTGATTAAAATAATGTTATAGTAATATAAATGAGTGAAAAAAGCATTTATGTGAAAATATGCAAGTAGAGTATGTTTGTGATGCATAATACTTGCATACAATTGTCAAGAATCTCAGATTAGAATCATATCTTCCTATCTCTTTCTCTTTCTATGAACAATGGCACCTCGACAATGGAGGATTAATAAGGAAAACATCGGAATATCCGTTAATCCAATTAGTCAAAGACGCACAAGACGGGAATCCGTGAACGCGCATCTCACTAGATCCTTCACAAAGGATTCGCTCGAATGATTTAGAGAAACGTTTCTTGTTTCTGGATTATTCGAATCGGAGTCAGAAGTCGACGCATATAATCGTATAAATACTCGACGTTCAGGAGAGTAAACTCGAATGAGAAACTATTCCCGTACATGCATGTATGAAAGTAGAGAGTAGAAAATAGATTATATAAAGAAAAAAATAGAAAGAGAGAAAAATATATGGAAAAGAATAATGACCAATTACGAATTTTCTAATCTGAATCGAAATTCACAAAGTTTTTAACTCTTTTACATTTGCCTGATGAATATTTATGATTGATATTAATCATACGTTTGTTGGCGTAAATTTAAAGAGTACAAAATATTAAACAGCATAGGTAGCAAGAAAAAAATATTAAGTAAAAATAGAAAAGAAGAAGAAATATTAGAAGAAAAGGAAAAATAGAAAAAGAATAGACATTCGAGTAGTCGTCTGGAGTATATTTTGTCGACTGGAAAATGAAGTGAGTCGATAAGGAGAGAGAGAAAAAGGGAAAAAGAGAAAAGAGAAGGGTTAAAGACTGGTCAATTAAATTCCCGTTGTTAATTCGGGCAATTAACTCGTAGGAAAGACGGGAGAAAGGTAGGCCGGTTAATTAAAGGAGCACCAGCGTGAATTCAAGGAGGTAAAGCGTTAATTAAAAGGTGGATCGACATGTAGAAGTATCGTGTACGAAGAAATTCCAAGGGTCATGATTTTAAAGCGTAGGCGTCAGGACGATAACACTTCTCTTCGCAAAGATCATTTTTCATGCCAACGCTCTTTTACCGAACGTAACTATTCACTTATTCCAAAGAAAGAAAATTCCAATTAATATTTCATTCTTTTCTTCAACTCCTTCTCTTTGTTTATTTTTTTTTTTATTTTTTTTACTTTATAATATTTCATATCCCTTTTGTTTATCGAGTAAAAAATGGTGTTTATTTTCCTTTCAGTTTATAAAGTAAAAATGATATTCATGAGCGGTATATTCGTTAACAACAACCGCAACTATTTTTCAAGACTAACGCAATAATAGGATGTAATTCAAAAACCGGAAGTACGGACTCGGGGAAACGCGTATTTCATATTCATTATTAGCGTGCAGCTGTTACGTAACGAACGAGTCCGTAGGGCGAAAACTGTACGGTTCTACTGTTACGTATGTATTAGTACGTCTACATACATATATATGCATATATGCATGCATAGTATGTATATTCGCATACTCGCATGCATGCATTCCTACCTTACATACAACGTTACACATACCTATATACTTAACACACATATGTACACGTATATGCATAAATAAATATATACGTAAATACATGGATTGAGACGCATCTATCGCTTTGTTATTTGAGCCTATACTAGATTCAATTATTCTACGTTCGATTTTTTATTATTATTTTTTTTTTGGTTTACTCTTTTTCAATGAAAAGGAATGGGAAAACAATTCACAATTTCATTTTACGTCGAGCTAAAATACTTACATTATTTTTAAATAATCTAAATGAATAAAAAGTCCACCATTAGATATCGAATAATACATTCGCATGATATTCAATATGAAAATGAAGAAATTCATTCCATCGGGATCAATAATATTCATAATTATTTTCATTAGAAATGGATATTCATCAATCTGGAGTTGAAATAAAAAAACAGGGATGAATGAAGAATTAGTTGGCGGAATGAAGGGCGAAGGGGTTGATTGCAAATACATTCTCGTCTACAAACGTGACGTTAGGAAATTAACATAAAGTTTGAAGGATCTCGTTTCAATTTTCGATCGAGTCTCGTTTTACTTCCCCTTGAATTTTTATTTCCTTCCAATTCACCCCAGACCCTCTTCCCCTTCTCCCCCTTCGCCTTTTCTTCTACCTCCTCCGACCTTCATCTCACTCCAGTTCTATCGTAACCCTCTTTGATATCGATTCGCGACATCGTTTGAGAAGCAAAATCCCTTGATGAGACAAGTTTCGCAATAAGGGTTGCACCACTGCCGTGTGCTACACATCAACGAACAAGCCTCCTCTTCTATTAAATATGTGGACTCGTATCGTGTCTCAGGACACAATATTACAAGGCATATCGTTGAAAGTTACCAGCAACTAAAACCTCTTCTAAGATATACTCGAGTGATGACGTGCTTTTTCTCTACCTCCCTCTCTCTCTCTCTTTCTAATTATCACAAAACTCGATCGCTTCCTTCAATCTCGAGCGAATAAACGTCTTGCGAGGGATAAATTGAATAGTAGAAAAGAATAAGCAATTCGAAGATATTTACGCACATACATCGACACATAATATTTTTAATTTTATTTCGAGCTCGATAATCTAAAGAAAGTCGAAAATCGAAACGATCGGGTCAAAACATTCTTCGTACGTAAACAGAAAAAAAATGAAATATTATGTCGATACTCGTTCCGTTTATTTGAAATTTATTCGTAACGTGTAAAACAATGAGTAAAAGATTTTTCTGATATTTTGTTATTTAATGCCATTTTCTTTCTCTCTTCATCTCTCTCCATCTCCCTCTTTCTTTATTTTTCTGCCCATCAAACTCATTAGTTTCTCTTTTTTTAATCTCCTCGTTCCTCTTTTTATCATAGTTTATTGATTTTAATCTGTAACCTCAGAAAGACTAGCCCCCGAACTTTCCAACTGATTTTACAGAAAAGGCCAAGATTATAAAGCCGGGGCGTAAATTTTCCACAACGTGGTAGAAAATTTCTCCGCGATAAATGCGAGACAAGGGAATCGCGGTAATATTTTCCCTCTCTCTCTCTCTCTCTCTCTTAAAAGCTTGTCCCTCTAGACGGAACGAAAGAGAGAGAGGAACTCACATATTGCAAAGCAATTTCACCAAAGACATTAATTTCTTTTTAACGCGTTGTGTCGGCACTATTTTCACGCTCGCGTTTGATTTTATCGATCATGCCCGTGTGGACTATAAATGACTAACGTTTATCGTCTTCCTTGCAAACATTTTTAAATAAGGAAAAAAACGAGTTATGGCATTTAATATAAAGGAATAAAATAAATTATTACCAAATCGAATATTTGTAATAATATTTTGTTGTTAATAAAGTGAATAATTCAAATAATTGATTAAAATATAAATTTACAAGAGAGGATAAAATTTTGTCTCAAGATCAGAATTTTTACGAGATAGTATGGTCAGTCACTTGGTTGACCTAGACGACATTGAAGGTGTTTTAATAGTAGCAGTTACGACGTTGAACTTTACGACTCGATTCGATCGTCGACTACGACGTCTTCATTTCGAAACCAACACCAGCATACACATACACACACATATAACATAGTGAAAACACATGGTTCTCATTTATTATACATATACATTCGAAATCGTTCACATGAATCGCAATATAACAAAGATGGCTCCGTAATCATTGAAAATTCCTACTTTACATATTTTCGAAAAAAGCAATAGCATTAACTCAAAATAAAAATCATCATTCATCTGTACATAACTTCCTTTTCCTAATTCGTTCGAGCTAATGAAATTTGTTTTACAGGATTATTGTAATTGTAGAAATATGTTACTCATTAAGTATACACCATAAATAATCCCCTATAGGACACGATTATTCTCAGGTTTGATCTATTTCGTCGAGAAAGAAAAAATTTTTTTTCTTTTTATTTTAATTTCGTTTCTAATAGCAACGGTGACCTAATTTATTATAATTCCATCTTTCTGCCCTGATAGTTGAAAAAAATAAAAAAAAATAAAAAACCATTCGCGAGAGAGCCTTCGAAAAGAGAGCAGCCCCTTTTTTGCAACCCCTCACCACCTTATCACGACCCCTACCCTCACGAGCCCCCCTCCACTTATTCCTTACAAAGACGGTTTAAACGAAAATACGATCATTTGTAAAAATGATCCAATAATCCGATTGTTGCTGCTATCATCTCTTTCTATCTCTCTTTCTCCTCCCCCGAACTCTCTTCTCGCACGTGCGCCCATTCGTGGTGACGTGAATTTGGGGCTGACACGCACGCACGCACACGCTATTGGACTGGGTTTAAGAAGGCTGCGGCGACTTTGGTTAAATCGAGGCGACTTCACGGCGCTGTGGTCACCTTCACCAGCTCAGAGTCCCACCTGGTAAGCCTCAGAATCCACCAAAAGCTTTCGAATGAAATGAGTTCAATCAAAAAATATATTGAAATTACAAAAAAATATACGTATCAAATAATTCAGAAAATATAATTTAAGATAGAAGAGCACGGAAAAACGTTGATAGAAAAAAAAAAATGCAAATAAGAAATTAAACAAAAGATGAAAAAATATTGAAATAAAGAGAAGATTTGAAAAGAAACGTATTAAGAAAATTAAAAAAAAATAAATATTAATAAATAAATAAAAGAGCAGTGGCTCTGACTCGCTTATTGGCTCGGCCGTCTATCGTTCACCTGACACGCACCTCTGTCTCTCTATATATATTTATATATATAATTGGCTAAATCTCACGCGAAACCTAGCTTCTTAGCGAAGGAACGATCACCACTGCACCAACTTTTCTCTTTGAGCTCTACACGTGCCCCTACAACTCGAGTACCGTCTATTTCTATTTTCCTTACAGCCTCTCCTTCTGTCTCACTCTTTCTCTGCCTGTATATCTCTATCTTTCTCTCTGTCTCTCTCTGTCTCTATCTCTCTCTATCTCTCTCTCTTTCTCTCTCTCTCTCTTTCTCGATCCAAGACATCCGGCACGAACAGAAAAAAAATCGGCGAAAATTCGCGTAAAACATTTTTCAATGAGTTACAGGAGTATTCGTATCCCCATCGTCAATTTGTAACAATTTATGTCACTTTTTAAAATAAAATCCGTCAAAGCTAAAAAAATCCTAAAATATGTTTTTGAATAAAAAAATTGTTGATATTGGAGGGATGTGTACGAATGCTCTCTCCTGGTCTCGTAGTAATATATATTTAATATAAAATAATAAGAAATTTAATTCGCCGAATTTTTTGTCTTCCTCGTATATACACCTGTGATTAGTTAGGAGGGCATTGACGAGTTTGTAAATAACTTTGTATATATACATATATACGTATATATATGTATGTATATATTTTCTATATATTTAGTTTCACGCGTAACTATCATGCTCACAGTTCTATATATAATATATTATATATAAAAGCAAGCCTGAATATATAGGTTTACCTACACCACTGATAACTGCACATGCACGCAAATGATCTTTGCTCCTCACTCATACATAATCACCGTTACATATCGCCATCTATCATTTCTTATATCTTTCTTTTCATCGTCGTTAAATATAAAATCTAAAAATAGACATTTTGTGTATATACGATCGAGTGATTTGATGCACAACTTGTTGTTTGCAAAACGTTCACTTTAATAATCAACAAGTTTCCTTGAATTCTTGACCCTTATACTTTCCTCTTCATTATTAGCATCTTCTTCTTTCCTACTTCTCTTTTTCTCTCATCCCTTCAATGCTATAACGAAGAAAATTATTGCTACATTTGCAAGTAACGACTTCCTTGAGACGACTCGTACCTCATAAAGGAAATAACAGTAATTGATCCCCATTGAAATCTCTTTTTCTTTCTCTCTCTCTCTCTCTCTCTCTCTCTCTCTCTCTTTCTTTCCTAGTTCATTCTTTCATCGAGTCATCACTATCTTCTATCTCTTTTTCTCTCACCCTATCTGCCTCGTGTAATGAACGATTGAGCGTCAGACGATTTGCCTTTAGCTCGAGCACCAAATTGCATGCAGCAAGTGGATTGGAACGAACGCACCCACCTGCATGTTGACGCAAAAATCTACGTTTAATTGTTCTTTCAGGATGAAATGGGCTGCGTTCGACTAAGAGGCCGTCGTTCAATCGTTCGTCGATATTCGTACGACGAGACGATCAGGCTGGTCTTACTTCGGAAATAGGAATTCTCGTGCATTTTTTCAAACAGAGGAGGATTATACAGGAACTATCTTAGCGACGTTTTATTATAAACTAGGAATTATTTCAAAGAGTTTCATTTAAAGGAATCTTATTTCATCTTGAAGTTATATTTTCGTCGACTCGATCGACGTACGAAACATCGATCGAGGAAGGAACTGGAATTTCATTTCGACTTCCAATCGATATTTAATTAGCACGAATTAGAACTAGATTATATGATTGTTTAACGACGAACACACTTGTGGACAACAGTGTTTTAAAAATGCTGTTTTAGAGCAGTTTTACCAAAATATGTTGATACTCGTCTTTCTCTCTTTCTTTTTCTATCTACCCATCCATCTATCCATCTATTTATCTATCTTTCTTTATTATTGTTAAGACTTTTCGGTTCGTGCGACACACGTAAAAGAGGAATTAGAAGAGGAAGAGTATGTACACTCGGCAATACACCGTAACCAAACACACAGTCACTGCAATAGGGTCGTATATATGTAGAGTCTAAGTCAGAGCTTCGTTAACCCTTACCCTGGAGCGGATAAGGTACCTCGAAATTCTCGCATACGAGGCCAAAGCTGCAATAGAGTAAGCGTAACCACCAGGACATCGATATCGTAACTCTTGCGCAGCTGCAACTCGGTGGGGCTCTGGCTAAGAAAACAGTTGGAATAACTTTGAATATATATTTCTCGATTACTCCGTAGCGTTTGTAGAAACAGAGCTTTTACCATGCGACCAACGAAAAGCGTAGAATGTATTACCAGAAGTGTTAGCAATCCTATAAAACAGGCCAAGTCAAGCTGTTTTCAAACTATTCAAGTTACCAATTTCCCATTTTCTATAAAAGAATTTTCTTCGACAAACGAATAATATAAAAATAGAAGAAAATTCAATCGAGATTTCGTTAGAAAGATATACGACTACCTGAAACTCGTGATTTTTCTTCTCTTTATCAACGCTTTCGGGCTCAATGAATATTCATTTCGTATCTATTATAGTAAGGACTCTATTTTAATAGTTCTGACTTTGAACAGATTGAAAAAGAAGAAGAAAAATGTACCTTTCTTCGTTGTTTCATCGCTTACAGATTTTAAACAATTAACTCGACAACTTTGAGATAACTTCGTTCATACTTTTAAACGGTCATGCAGTAATTGTTGTAGTTACGATTAATCAAAACTAATTGACTTCGACGTTATTCTTAATTTCTCTTTTTTCTGTTTGAAAACTTGGAAAATAGAAGCAATAAATTTGAACAATCGAGAGATAGCAAACGTAGAAATAGTATTTCTGAAAGTAAGTAGATATTACGTCGTACCTACGTAGTACGTATAGTGCCATTTAAATTAGGTCTAACTACGTATTCTTCAGAACAGGTAAAATAATTAAAAGGAAAGTTTTGTAGTTAAAAGTTCGAACAAATGAGAAGAGGCCTTCCTCCCTTTTTCCCTCCCACTCTCTAAGTCCCCATCCCTAGAGCAAAGTTTTACCTCAACAATTTTATTTCCGAGTTAACGCGTTGACGGTCAATGATATCATCTCGGCCTAATTTCTTTAACGATACTGAAACTCGAAACTAGTATAATACTCTGATACAAATCATCCGATTTTCTGAAACCCATGTATTCGACTTGATACTCTCGTATCATTCAGCCTACATCCAGAGAAACGGGTGCCTATCGAACGTTCGATTTGCGGAAAACTCGTAGCCAAGATTCGTGAATATTCGATTGAGTTTGTTAGTGTAATTTTCGTTTAACCTGATTTATCGCTAATATCCTCACAAAGTTGAGTCGATCGATCAGTTAGATCTTCCGTTTGAACGATTTCGAAATTTCATAAATTTCACTGATTCGTATCGATGTAATCCTCTGTAATTAGAAACGTTCTTGTGATGTATCGTCATTGAAACGTATATGTATAGATGTATGTATATGTCTGTTAGTAGAAAAAAATTGTAAATGGATCCAAACATGAAACTGTTTGATCTGTTTATTTAATAGAGTTAATACAGAGAGATTAGTATATATATTATATTATATTTATATTATATTATATTATATATCATATTATATTTTATTAGTATATTACATATATATATATAAGTTAACGTATTAGTAAAAATATTAAACCATAAATTATGAAACAAGATTTAGTGTACTCAATAGAACCGTACTTTAAAGCATACAAATATACAGACACGCAAATTTTTAGATACAAGATTTATTAAAAGGATTTAATTTAAACTATAAACGAAATTATATAGTATAAGATTCATTTTACTCGGTAAATCCATAATTCAACACATACCAATATACAGACTCGTAAGTTCTCCGATGCGAATTTATGAAAAAGATTTAATTGAAATATGCATGAAATTACGTAATAAGATAAATTTGACCCAACGGGATTCGTGATTTCTCTTGTTCGACAAATCATACATAGTTCTATACATATATAAGTCCAACTCGATCTTAATCCGTCGAGCAGTGATTATTCTAAGACGGAGACGTGTTCGATCGGTTATATCCGATAGATTTGATATCGTATCCGGCTTCGAGCATCTCCATTTACTTGGAAATTCTCACGGGTGGAATAAGGTAATCAGCCAGTTGACGGCTATTCCCCGGATGGTTCGTGATCTAACTCGAAAATGCTTCGCTTCCTCTATTTATCTTTCCTCAGAGGCATCTTATAGAAATCCTATACTCATATACTAAACTTTAGTATCTCTCGTTAGGTAAATTCAGAGAAATAAAATACTTATAAGAAAAAAATGAATAGCTTAAGCATAAATGAAATAGACTTATCGTTCTATAATGAATTCGCTAGTACATATGTATCATCGCATGGTGTATGACCCTTATATGGGTCGCTCGTACATACAGAGACCTCGTACAGACAAGTTTTCGCATGAACAACCTGTAATATGGGTCGTTAGTAGTAAACTGGGTGTAGGGAATTGTACAATATAATTGTGTTTTAATATTATTATTAAATTTTTCTTTAATCAATTAATTTTATTTAACTTCGACAAATATGTTTAAAGTTAACAACAAGAGTGATCGATGTATAGGAAAGTTTTTTAATGAAGATTAATTTCCATGGATGGGGGGATCGAGTTTCCGTGAGTAAACGATTCTCCAAGGGATTACGTAGATGGTAACGCAG